TCATAGTCTTATATTTCAACAGTTGTACGAAAAACTGTGACTTTTTTGACATGAAAATGATTTTTTAAGATTGACAAACATCATATGTGTAATTCATGGCACAATTCAAACGGGATCGAAAGATAAGTTTTCTCTCTCCATTGACTTCAATACATAATTTTTCCGAAATAAGATCCCATGGACCGGAAGTAGATGGGCGTGACTTCGCCACTCTATACAATCTGACTTCTTTAAGCAACCAAGGGTGTCGCCCTCTGTTGCCATTAGAGAGAATGTGCTTTTAAAGCACTTCAGCAATCTAAGTCTCAATGGTTTGCTCACTACTTTACAAACAAATGCATTTAATCTGAAACATTATCATTTCTTATACCTGTGCATAAACAATCTCACCTTACTCAGGAGTTCTACCTATTCGTACAAATCCACATTTTTAAATGCTTTAGTGAAAAATACATGTGGTAGTCAATTATCAAACATTCAACTGGATAAATGGATGAAACTGTGGGAGTTGTATAGAGGATGTTTTAATATAGTTTTGCTGTGGTCAAATTATCATTGTGTGGGTAATGTAGAGCAGATGCACAGAATGAGTTATATCAAAGAGAATAGCATCATTGGTAATGGAATATGGAATTGCTTTTAATTAGGGCCGGGACTCGATTAAAAAAATTAATCTAATTAATTAGAGGCTTTGTAATTAATTAATCGAAATTAATCGCATTTTTAATCACATATAAATATTTGACCTAAGAACAGTGAGAAGCAATTTTTTTTCACATGGATTTTAGTATACCATTAGGCGCATTCACACCGCAGTACTTTTCCCACAAAGGTTCATGAGAACTCTTTGAACCTGGGGGTGGATTAGGCAAATGAAGCCGCTGACGTCACTTCTTCTTCTTCTTCTGCTTTGGGTTTACTGGCAGGCCGCAAACCACTTCACGGCGTATACTGCCGCCCAAAGTCCCCGGAGTTGGGGACTGGCTTCAGTAGAAGCTGCTGGGAGTCCCAGCAGCCTTCCGAGTAAATCGCCAGAACGCCGACACCTCCTCATCTCCACCGCTCCCATGTTTTATTTTGTGTTGCCATAAGTTAGTCTCTCTGCGTTTCTGTGCTGGGCTAATGCTAATAATGCTAATGCATGGGAAAAAAATGGCGGCTTCACAAAACTTTTTGGGAGTTTTACGGGGCGTGGTTTGCAATCCGCCCAGCCAATCAGAAATATAGCTCTTTTCTCACAAGAGAGCCGTACGAAAGTCCCTGCTCTCTAGCAGCTCTCTGCTCTCTAGCAGGGACTTTCGTGGGGGTAAAAAGATTCTCATGAACTAATTTTAGTACCGGCTCTTTTTGGTGTGAACGCGATAACGAGGCTAACGTCCACGCTAGCTTCCACGCTAGCTGCTATATGTTTTGCATTGAGGTGATACTTGAGGCTTGATGTGCTGCGGTGATATGCGAATTCCTTTTTGCATAATTTGCACACAACCGTGCTCTTATCGACGCTTCCATCCGTCCGTTTTTTAAAACAACATTTCCCACTGTTGTTCACTGTGGTTTGTTGTTGTCTGAAGTCATGAACGTTAGTTGGTGCTCCAGTATAATCGGTACGCCTGAAACTCATCCAGTGAGAAACGTTCCGCGGTGCAAAAATAAGTGCGATTAAAATGCGTTAATTTTTTTAACGCGTTAATTTTTGTGTAATTAATTAATCTTAATTAACGCGTTAAAGTCCCGGCCCTACTTTTAATGTGTTCACCTTTTTCTGTCTCTTATAAATGTATTCCCTCATGTCAGCTGGCGCCCTGGTCAGATGCTATTGTTGCTCTCTGCACCACATGGCTGTAATGTGGTGTTTACAGCACTGCCCGCACCGAGTGTCCAAAGAGAATCACTTTATGCTGCCTCAATCTGAGCCTGTATGGAGTGAACATTATAATTATAATAAATATTGACTTTCGTAACAAGCTAATAATTACAGCTACAGTGATGGACAGAACCTTAGTACATGACACAATGTATCTTAAGTGCAAGTAGGCTACTTTAAAACGGATTACTGTGACTGTTTTCATTTACACTCATTGTGCACCTTTATTACTAACCTGACGTTATACTGAATTGATACAGATGTCAGATACAGTAACAACGTTTGAGATTTTACAAGAAAAACATAATATTAAAAAAAGCATGCTTGTAGATTGAATTACTGAGTAACGTTATTGCAGACAGCTTTCGTTTTTTCTATTGCATTTCTGACCTATGTATTAGCTTATCTTCAGTTAAAGGTGTGGAGGCTGTAACATATGAGCTGTTTTGCAGTGAGTGTACTCAACGTTGCACGATGACCAACAGTAGTGGTAAATACCAAAAGTGGAGGTAAGCTGAGGCAACAACAGCCCAGTTCTCCTTCACATTGTCTCATCCCCCCTCCTCCTCCTAACCTCATAAACCCAGCCTCACACTGAGCATTCCTGACCTCAGTCACACATACCAGCACAAACCCAAGACCTGATCATGGCCACTGAGGCTCGGACTGATGCCAGACTCCAGAGAATACTGTACCTCGGTGGGGGCATCAATCTTCAATGTGTCCTGAAGTATTCATGTGTTTTCGTCAACTCAATTATAAATTATTGTATTTACTTGATTAGAAAAGATGCACAGGACTCGGTTATACATTATTACAGAGGAGGATTAGACCCAAGTGTTGAGGCTGCTAAAAATTGACCTACACTGCCCCCCTGTGGCAGGGGTCTGAACATGGTGGTTTTGGGGATTCAATATCTCAGTGTAAACGTCCCAGAGATTAAATAAAGTCTTGGCAGGATCATGCAGACATACTATCAGACAATGTTTTTTACTTATGATAAAATAATACATTTGAAAACATTTTCAATACACAGAGAAGATTGAGATACGGTAAAGAGAACAAACATGGCAGAAGGAACAACAGTTCACTGTGAATACATATGAACTCTGAGTGAACTCTGAACTGCTGTTTCTTAAGATGCCAACCAGGACTCATAACAATGAGTTGAAGATCTGTGATGTCGATCAGAATACCAGTAGAGGAAGTCTAGTTGTGGAGCTGGAAAAGCTTAATATTGATAAAAAAAAGTACCCTTTGCTATTTATATAGCATATTTCAAAACAAAGTGATTTAAAATGAATAAATACAAAAAACAACATATATAAACTAGAGAATGCAGTTCCTGAAGAAATTGTTAGTGGGAATGCTTTATGCTAAAAATCTGACGCTAAACTGCTATGCTTAAATGTAATGTGTAGAAAGAAAGTGAAGAATTTAGATTGAAATGATACATGAACACTGGGGGCTTGAATGTGTGATGAGAGAAGAAAAGAAAGTAAAAAGGCTTGGAAAAGCAGCAGAATATTTGAACTGCAAACTTCTGAACTAACTTGATGGCGAATGATCTGTCACCATGACAACTGTATTTGATGACACCCCATAATACGCTTAGATGCGTTGATGGCTGCATCGTTACCAAACCTGTGACGTTTTCGGCCGTTTGGAGCATTTTCACTGAAGTTATGAGAAAACCGTGTTTCATGGCGAGCCTTGTGTTACCATGGAAACGGTATATGATGACACCCCATAATTGACGTAGAGCTGTTGAGGGCAGGACCATTAACCATTATCTGAAGTCTGCTGCTCTGAGCATGTCAGTTGGAGTTATGACATCATCAGGTGTTTATATTTGAGCTAACGAGGTGTCCAGAGATCACAGGTTTCCATTGTTCTGAATGAGAGATAAACCTCTTACATGTGAACGTTTTGTTGAAGAACCGTAACAGATATCGGTGAAATTTCAAAGCGTGAAGCATCTCAAGGACCTTGAGTATCTGAAGTGTGCTTTCTGTGTAGTTTCGGGTTAATAATGTGGCCTTTTTGGCAGTTTAACTAAAGGTGTGTGGCTGCTACCGTGAGGAAATATCTGCCTGAAATTACAATGGGCTTTAATGGATGAATGTTGAACGTTTTTGTCACTTCATGCCCTGAAGGGGCATTTTGTTTAATTATTTTTTGCTTAATTATTTGTCATTTTTCAAGCTACGAGATGTTTTCCTACATTTGTCATGACAAATTATGTCTCAGGAATGTAGGGTTTAGGAATTATGGCAGTTTTTAAAAAATATATGAAGGCAAATTTCAAGATTTTCTACCCTCCAGCTGTGACATCACACACTCTAGTTAATGTTAAAATGTGAAGAAAACCTCTAAAACAAAGTCTGAACAATGTGTAATATCTCTAAAAGTAAGAATCAGATTTAAAAAGTTGTGTAACACGAATAATGTCAGATAGATGTGTAACATTTTAAAGTTGGAATGAGGTTTCTGAGTGAAAGTATGAATGAACAGTTAGCAGTTGAAGTCGCATGAAGATTTGTTGAAGTCTGAAGATTTTCTCCATTGACTTCCATGTAAAAAATGTGATGAATTATGGGATGTATCTCTGGAATTATGAAAGTTATGAATGAGAAAAGTAATATCCATCGATTCCCGACCGAGCTGAACGTTTTGATGTTTGAACGGAGTTTCTGCGATGTTCAATGCGGGAGAAGAAGAGGGCCAAAATAACAGGCGGAATAACAAAGAATTTTGTGCGTAGAAGAACAGATAGTGGAATGCTGTGTCAGCATTCCCACTAAAATATGATAGATAACAGTTTCAAGGAGATAACTAATAGATACAGTATATCTGAATTAAACTTCCACTACTTACATTTACATCACCCCTTTACCGTTTCCTAACGTTTAACTATGCAATTGAAGCATCATCAACACTTACTTTTGGGGATTTGAGGGGAAATGTACAGATACGAATAGACAAAGTCAGCAAAATAAATATCTAAATGTGCATGTTTACTTTCCACTAGTCTAAAAAATGACTTATTACGGAAATAACAAAAGCCAAAAATGTTTGAAATTGACCAGTGCATTCAAAAATGGCTTCACTAATATGACCTTGTCACACAAGAGAGAGCAGTGGTAAAACACGTTTTTAATTCATTCACAGAAATGGAATCCAATGAGATTATTGTTTCTAACAATAAAATATTCATCGGGTCACATTACAAACACCTTAGAACAGCAGATAAATAGTTGATATCCCTCTCAAAGTGCAGGATCAGTTTGGTAGCAAAAATCCCTGACAAAAGATCTCATGGCACCAGATAACAGCATCTGGCTCTGCTATAGGCTACCAACTGTTCCCATGGAAACCATCCATCACATCATCTGACACATCGCAATAACCAAAAAGCATTAGTTTGAATAATGAACCTATATAGGAGGTTTTCTATAGAGCTGTGGAGAATGTTTTTTGTACTATAATAGTCTGGTCCGTAGTCTCCCTTTTTATTACAGATGTTGGTCCTGTTGCATTCACAGGGGCAACAGAAAGATAGTGGAAGTGTCCCAATGTCACTGAAACCGTAAATACCCCACTGATAAATGTCAGAAGATTTTATGAATCGTAAAATCGGTGGTTGCTAAGAAATAGCTACATGAGACTGCTAAACGTCATCACGAAGAACATTAGGCACCTTTAGCTAAGCGGTGTTGACATGATGCACTCAGTGTGATGTAGTCATTTATAGCATAATGTCATCTTTTTACATCTGGCAATTGCATTTCAACTTAAAAAAAGATAAAAGTGGTGTTTATGTTCGGAGATTATCCTGCTGAACAAAAGGGAAGTATCATAAACATCTGTTTGCCACAGAGACTATTTTCTGCCGTGCGATGCTAACTTCTCGGTCGGCCTACAACAATCCTCCCTGCACCTCGTTTTGAGCTTCACACTGCGGGTGCAGATCATTCTGTTTGTAGATGCTACGTCAAGGCGTTTTTATAAAGTCCTCGCGTCATTCTTACCCCCAGTTTCCACTGGGTCCGTCTGCGCCGCGGTTTTGGTCCGACCTCCTCTAGCGCCATAACCCACCGGACGCGTCCCAGAAGTGTTTCAGAAGCATAGCGTCGTGCGTGCAGGCTCGCAGTTTTGTTATTGATTCGGGCATCCTGAACATTTGTATTTCTACAAGAAAGTAAGTAGGCTAGTAGTTAAATGTTTTATTTTGTGTCTGTTTAAATTGTGTTTATTATTGTTATAAATTTCCTATTTTGTTGTGTTGTAGTCTACAGACAGACACAGTTAATAATAATTGTAAGTCCACTTCCATGATGAAAACCTCATCGTCCATTGTGCGTGTCGTAGTGGAGGTGTTGTGATGAAGGAGGAGGGGGATCTGCTAAATTAGTATATGTGGGGGATGGGCCTGGCCCGGATGCTCTCCTTTCCACTTCCTGCGAGGGGGGGCTGCCTGCCCGACCTTACGTTACGGCTGCGGCACGGCAAAAATAGGATTCATCCTAATTTTAGAGAAGCGCTGCGCCGGGACGCTTCTGGGACGCGTCTGAGCCGTAACGCGGCGCAGCGCGGCGCAGACGGACCCGGTGGAAACTGGGGGTTAGATACTCGAACTAGTGTTCACAGTCCAGTGATGGTCAGCTGACCACAGGTCCTGAGCTAATGGATGGACTCTATATGAAAGCACCAGCATAAAGTATCTCTCCCTGTAACTCTCACACCTTTACAGCAGTGTGGTGGGAGGACTTTGCCCCAGTGTTAAGAGTCCCATTAGTTTCCTGCATAGACAACATTATATAGATAAATGATTGACATCAAACTCTTTGGTTGAATTATCAGTATACACTTTAGGCAACTCAGTAGGGAAATGTTTGAGTTTGTATATATAAATAGGTATATTAAAACTTTAGGAGGTAAGTCAAGAACTCTGAAGAATCATTTTGGTAAGAAATGTCCAAGCTATTTAGAAATCATAACGAGCAGTTTGAATTCAGTCACATATTCAGGACACTTAAAGCCGTGTTTTGTTGGCAGTAGACCTTTCCCCTCCCAAAGACACTGGACTTTGCCTCACTGATAACATTTACAATGTCATGACACGGTGCGAGGGCCCTGAGACAGGTGGATGGAGATGACCACAGCTCTTTCTGTGCTACCACATGCCAAATGCGTAGCCTCTGGGCTGAAACACATTAACATTTCCAGCACAGGCTGACATGATAAAGCTACAGAAATCAGTGATGAATTTTGATTGGCTGACTTATGATGCACCATATGTCGTTTCCTTTTTCCAATATTGGTATACCCTCTCAGGTCCAGTTTAAATAGCAGATGTGGACCTGAGACCTGGTTCAGGTGGAGTCTGGTCCTCTTTTCTGTTTCAGGACCTCTATACATACGTCCCATGTTTGTTACTCCATCTCCTGAAAGCCACTGCTGAGAGCATCCCAATTATTTTTTGTTCCAGGGAATCCTGTGAAGAGAGAATCCCCCCTCCCCCCTCTAAGTCCAGTACTTGACTTCCGCTGGTTGATGAGATGGAGTCGTTGTAAATAATGTCCAGAGATTGTCTTTATTAACATGCTGCATTTATCCAGGAGATGGGACTGCAGCCCTGGTGGTGAGGTGTTTAGCTCTCAGCGCGTCTTCCTGTAATAAACAATAGCTGCTACCAATGCTACTGATGCTACTATGGCTACTGTCCTCCACTGAGAAAAACCACGGATCACCCCCTCCTGGAAAGATCAAACAGACAAAGAAAGATTAGTAGCTCCATACAGTTCTAAACCAACATTTAGAATGATTGTAGCACATCACTCACCCAGCCTCCCTGCTGCACCAGCCACGAGTAGAGCTGCTCTCTGATCACCTGCAAGACCCAGCCGATGATTGTTCTGATGTTCTCTAGATGGTTGGTGGTCAGGGCCTTTAAAAGCAAAAACAGGAGACCAGTCAGAAGAACTTTGTAAGCTACCGACGCGGGTAAATATCCATACTTCATTTAGGCCCCATCCACACGGAGACCCGAGGTCGATATCAAAAAAGTCTTCCGTCCACACGAGACCGCTCGACCCCGCTGGAGACGCTGTATTTTTTTAATTTACTTTTATTGTCATTACACAGTAGGCCTACTTACTATTTAACTAAATGGTTTCTCTGCATTTGACCCATCCTAGTGTTAGGAGCAGTGGGCTGCCATTATGAATGGCGCCCGGGGAGCAGTGTGTAGGGAACGGTGCCTTGTTCAGGGACACCTCAGTAGCACTTGTACACTGTACACTTGAACACTTTAACTTGTAATCGTTTGAGGGCTCCGTTTCCACGGTTCCGTTACGGCACATGTGTCAAACTCAAGGCCCGGGGGCCATATCAGACCCGTGGTGGATTTAATTTTGGCACGCAGGATAATTTCTAATAACTATTAAATCTGGCCCGCCGGTATATTGCACGCACACCTTCACTCCATCCTGAGGGTCTCCTCAGCTCAGAGCCTGAGCCCAAACATTGATGAACTTGCACCCAAGATGAGATGCCAAGTATCTGCTTGAACTAGCATCACAGCAGCAAACTGAGTTTAAATGAATGTTTCCTTTTGCACTTTTTTTCTTGCGACAACAGGGCATGTTTGTTTTTTTCTTTGAGGGAAATTGTTTTTTTGAAGCTGTTATATACGTTATCATAAGAAATGACTCCAGAAAAGCTGCAGATAGAGCCATAAGAAATTAATGCAACTGATTATTTAATGTTTAATGTTGTTTTTATAGGCAATTATTTAAGCTTCGTTAGTTCCAGGTTAAATATGGGAATATTAAAATGGGAGGCGTGAGGCGCAGTGGTATAGTGCGTTGGTGTTCGGATCAGGGGAGCACAGGTTCAAACCCCACTGCAGTCAGCATGTCGTTGTGTCCCTGGGCAAGACACTTCACCCCAAATTGCTCCTGTGGGGATTGCCCCAGAGATGGAGTACTCGAGTGCCGATTTTCGGGACTTGACTCGGACTCGCGCACTGATTGACGCGACTCGGACTCGTGAATTCTCGCGCACGATGACTTGGACTCGTGAATTATCGCGTACACTGACTTGGACTCGGACTCGTGAATTTTTCCCCCCACGATGACTCGGACTCGACTTGTATATTGACGGTCCGACTTGGACTCGAGCTAATTTTCTCCGCTATTCCAGTCTAAAGATGTCTAGAGACACACCCCGCATCGTGCTGTATGCTTTCACACATTCTGCTTCCACATTGGAAAAGAGCAGCGCAAAATGCTCATTATGTGGAAACAATATTGAAGAGAAGGCTCCGTCAGACATTACTCTAAGGATCGAGTTCAGACATATAGGCTGTCTTGAACACTATCATCAGAGTAACGTGATCTAATCAATAAATAAAGATTCAGCCGATAACACGAAAGCATATGGCTACTTAACATGCAGAATGACGTGCTTTCTGACGTGCTAAATCTTTATCAGTAAACCGATTTAACCGGTAAAAGTTCCTTCAAAATAAGAGTCCCGATCTTATTACTATCAAAATAAAAGTGCAAAACGAAAACTTTACCATAGGAAAATATTGGCATACAAATATAATCACTTCTCTAAAAGGTAACTCATTTTAAATATAGTTTATTTATATATAATAATAATATTAATATTAGTAATAAGCTTTATATTTGTATAGCACCTATTACTACAAGAATTGTAGCCAAACTCGCTTCACAGCAGTTCAATAGACAGATTAGTATAACATGACCAGTGTTGGGCAAGTTACTTTTAAAAATTAACTAGTAATAGTTACTGCTCTCAAAAAAGTAACTAGTTACTTTATTAGTTACTAAATTATACAAGTAACTAGTAACAAGTTACTTTACTTTAAAAATAATAACAATAAAAAATACAAGTTTTTGTGTTGTTCTGTGGCACAAGAGAAAAGACAACTCCCCATCATTGTAGCAATTATCATTATGAAATAGTGGAACAATAAAACACGAAAGTGCGATTTAAAAAGATCGTTTTTTTGGTTGTTTAGATGGTGTTGCTCCATCTGGGTCACTGCCGGTAGTTGAGACGGTGGGGTCTTTGGCGACTAGTTTTATAGCCCCATGTACATTATTTAGGTGCTTCAGGAGATTGGCATTGCTGTTTTTCGATGTGGACAATGCTTTCGGTCCTGCACACAGTTTACATTTTACCGTAATATTTTTTGCGTCCTTTATCCCCACAAATTGAATATAGTGGTTATATCTCCAAGTTGCAAATGCACTGCTGCTCTCGCTGATACTTGCATCTGCCATAGTGTGTGTGTGTGTGCTGGTGGTGAGCGTTGCCGTGTGTGTGTGTTAGCAAGTGTTTGTGTGTGTGTATTTTCCCCATAAGGCAAGACCCGCCCAACTCTGTCTCTGATTGGCTTACCCTGAAATGTTACCCCGCGTTAACCAATCATCACTCCTCTCTGGTCACTTTCACTTTTCCATGGTACTGTGAGAGGACATCGCTGTATTCGCTTGTAAATTACATCCGCAGGGAGATTCGGTTCAGTTCCATCACATAATGTAACGTAGTAACGCACCCATTTCAATCACAGTAACTATAACGGCGTTACTGAATGGGAATAGGTAACTAGTAACGCTATTAGTTACTGCAAAAAGTAGTTGCGTTACAGTAACGCGTTACAAAGTAACGCGTTACAAAGTAACGCGTTACAAAGTAACGCGTTACAAAGTAACGCGTTACAAAGTAACGCGTTAGTCCCAACACTGAACATGACAGGATAAAAGGGGGCTCGTCCAAAGGCTGTCTCGGGCAGGTGCCGGTGTGGTGAGTAGTATTACTTTGTAAAAGGCCCTTGACAGCATTTGTTTGTTTGTTTGGCTGTATAGCGTAGAGTTGCAGTGATGGATTTAGACTTGGAGGGGTTTGTTGGTGATCCGACTCGGGGGAAGTTGGATGCATGTAGCAAACAGCAGCTTGGTCTGATCGCAAGCACATTTGACGTTGTAGTCAATAAGCAGAACAAGAAACAAATCATTAAGGGACAGCTGTTGGCTGCGCTTATAGATCAGGAGGTATTGTCAGAGGAGGAAGTAGATGTTCCCATAGACGACGGGACAGAGGTCTCTCAGAAAGTGAGCGACCTTCAACTTCAGCTAGAGCTGCGCAAGCTGATGGTTAGAGAGAAGGAGAGTGATAACAGACTGAGAGAGAAGGAGATCGCCTGTAATCTCGAATTGAGGAAATATGAGGCGGAGTTACGTTTGAGGGAGCTGGAGCTGACGTCTCACCAGACTCAGCAGTTGGGGTCTGCGCAACCTCATGATTTTGACGTAGGCAAGTATACTCGGTTTATCCCAGTGTTTAACGAAAAATACGTTGATAGCTATTTTGTCCTGTTTGAGCGTGTAGCAACAACGTTTAAATGGCCTGGGAACATGTGGACCGTTATGCTGCAGTGCGTTCTCGCGGGTAAAGCGCAGGAGGTGTATACTGCGTTATCTGAGGAGGTTAGCCGGGATTATGAACAGGTGAAAGCTGCAATTCAGCGCGCTTATGAGCTGGTGCCTGAGGCATACCGTCAAAAGTTTCGTGGTTTGAAAAGACAAGATTGTCAAGCGTATGTGGAATTCGCCCGTGAGAAAGAGGTTCTGTTTGAGCGATGGTGCTCATCGACAGGGACAAAATCTCTAGAGGACCTAAAAACATTAGTGCTCATGGAAGAATTCAAAAACTGTTTGCCTTACACAGTAGCCACATACCTCAATGAGCAAAAACCGGTGAAACTGTTTGATGCTGCGGTTTTGGCTGAGGAATATGTGCTTACTCACAAGACTGTCTACAGTGAGAGGACTAGGGCACAGGCCGGGTTTGTGGACAATAATATCAGAGAAACCCCAGTCTTCACTAAAGTGCCATGGCAGTCCAGCAGGCCAAGAGTTGCTGAGGAAAAACCGGGAGAGGTGAATTGGAGATCTACGGATAGGCCAGTGTGTCATTACTGCAAGAAAAGAGGTCATATTCCTGCGAATTGTTATTCTTTGCAGGATGAGGAGAAGCCTGTAAAGACGGTCGCTTTGGTGAGTACTTCAATGCCAGGGTCTCTCAAATCAGAACTGGAAGTTTTTGCTCCGTTTCTCATGGAGGGAATGGTGTCTTTACCGGGGAAGAACAACAGGGTTCCAGTGACCATTTTGAGGGATACAGCAGCTTTGCAATCCTTTATGATGAGGGGTGTGTTGCCCCTCTCTAAGGAGTCTGCTGTGGGTTCGGGTGTTCTTGTGAGGGGGTTTGGTATGCAGTGTGTGGGTTCGCCATTGCATAATATTCATCTTGAGTCAGATCTGGTCACAGGTCCGGTAACTGTCGGGGTTCGGCCATGTTTTCCCATTGAAGGGGTAGATTTGGTCTTGGGGAATGATTTAGCCGGTGGCAGAGTGCTCGTTAAGCCGGGAGTGAATGCGGTGGCAGTCACCCGCAACAGTTTTACGGCTACGGGATTGGACAGGCCGGTCAGGGATCCTCCATCGTGGCGTGAGGGTGGGAAATCAGGTACGATAAGCCCTGGGGCTGTTCATAACCCTGTCGCTGCCTGTGTGGAGGCGCTGTCCAGTGCTAAAAGTGACACCCCTGACACCCCTGTCACCTCGGAGGCCCCGATCGCTGCGGAGACTCTGGTCAATATGGAGTCTCATTTGGCACACTTGCCTGATGCGCAGCGTGCAGACGTATTGGAGCTGATCGTGAGGTGGAGCGCCCTGTGCCGTACCGCTCCGGTAAATTCAATCCCCACCAGCGGGTGTGTTCCACCGTTGGTTCCACAGTCGAAAAGGAAGCACTGGCTATGGTTCTGGCTTTGAACCATTTTGAGGTATACGTGGGGTCATCAAACATTCCTGTCACTATTTTCACCGATCACAACCCCCTTGTGTTTCTGCAGAGAATGCGTAACACAAATCAAAGGTTGATGTGGTGGAGTATTTTCATGCAAGCCTTCAATGTTGAGGTCAAACACATTCGTGGCAAGGATAATGTCATTGTCGCGCTTATAATATAGCAGTTATTGTGTGTTGTTAACCTGTCTGGTGTGTGGAATGAGTGGAGGTGAGCACGTCTGTCAACTAAGGTTGATTGTTGTGATTGTTATTTTTTTTTTAAATCACTAACTCATGGTGGGGGTGTTACGTACTCCCCCCCCTTTTGTTGTCCTCTTTGTTCTCTCTGCTGTGCAGGTACACCTGGCTCCGCCTTCCCCAGGTGTTCCCAGTTGTCACTCAGCCGAGCTTGGCGCAGGTGTTCCCAGTTGCCAATCAGCCGAGCATAAAAGAGGAGACTGAAGGAGAAGGAGGAGGCCGATCACTACTCCGGATGTCTCTGCTGTGTCAGAGCTCTTTTGCCTTTTTGTTGTGTTTCCTGGAGGACGTGTTAGTATTAGGTTTTCGCGGCTTTATTTCTCCCGTTAGGTTCTGTTGGATTTTGGGTAGCGGAGGAAGGCTCTGGATCTTACGGCCCGTGGTGTGGTTGGCCCAAGTCCCCTCCGTCTGTTTGTTTGTTTGTTTTACCTGTCCTCCAGTGGAATGATTTAGTATTGTGGCAATAAATGTATGATCACAGTTTAGTGCCTACGTGTTGTGTACTTTTGTTTTATGTTGCGGACTGCCTCACGAGCCACTACTATTGAGTAGGGAGGCGGGTCGTAACATATGTAGAGGAGCAGCTACATTTCAACACATATATCCACGAAGATTAATACATGAAGACTTGTGACTCAGACTCGAACACAGGTAATGATGACTCGGACTCGACTCGGACACTCCTTGGGTGACTCGGACTTGGACTCGACTACGACTCTCCCTTGGTGACTCGGACTTGGACTCGAAGAGTGGTGACTCGAGAGTGACTTGGACTTGTGAATTGGTGAGTACAACACTAGATTGCCCACAGTATTGAGTATGTAAGTCGCTTTGGATAAAAGCGTCTAACAAGTAACATGTTATGTAAAATATGTGCAATAAGTTAATTTCAATACGTTTTGCAATAAACATTGAACCAGTCCGGCCCTCGACTAGTACTGATTTTTTTATTTTTGGCCCACTGTGTATTTGAGTTTGACACCCCTGCGTTACGGCCTCGTGTGGACGAACCGTCCATATACGATAAAGAACTATAGCGGATAACACCCGTTTCGTCTCCGTGTGGACGGGGCCTTAATCAGGTCCATGTGAAACCCCCTTGATTGATTCACATGGAGCGTGGAATTTTCCACGCTACACTAACAACGGTGGAATGTGTCAGAGTTGTGCTCATGTTGTTTTAAAACCCACAAATATAAATTGAATTGTAAGCACCGGCCCCGAACTGGCCTTGGAATTGTCGGACGTGTCGGCAGCATTGATACAATAATAAACACATTCATTGCAATCAGAAACATTTGAAAAGATACACTTTGCTAACTACTGGATATCAGCATCTTAATAAAAATGTGGGAGTCCTTTCATTTCTTAAACCTGGGTATTCTTTCAATTTGGTACTTTTTCTGAATTCTTGTGTTTTGGTTGTCCAGTAGCAAAGGTTGTGGATAGCTGGTAGATATTGTGATACCACCTCAGCCAAATGCCAACACAATGAAAAACTAAATAGAGAAGAGAAGCTTACAAAAAGAGATAGCAGTCTAATCAAGCAGAGTACTAAGACAGAATATGCCAAGCTCTTTCCAAGAATGAACATTGGTATCTGATATGAAAAGGGCTCTCCTTATCTACCAAATACTTTCAGAACAGGTGGGTTACCCAAATCTGCTTCACAGTGTTCTGGAGTTAAAAAAAAAAGACTGTTTGAAATTCTTCTGTTTGATCCATGCACATGTGTATAACAAAACTTGACTTTCTCCTCCCTTACTTTGATGTTCGTGGTCAAATTTAACCAGTCTGGTTGAACTGCTCTTACATAAAGAACATTTAAAAAAAATCTAACTTAAAACTCGGTTTTAAACTGTAAACAATTTCTCAGACTGCTGGTTTACATGAATAAGTGCAGTGAATATACAAAGAATACACACTGAAAATGTATTCCAAAACTAACAGGGTTGTCGGATGGATGAACATAATCTAGGGTTACCCATTCATTTCCTATGGCGGTCATTTTGGACCGGGATCACCCAACCCAGTCTCACGGCATTTTGTGTAATAGTCACGAAATAAATGTAATCTATTGATTCGTGTTCACCAACACAATTTTCCCATTTTTTTCCTTGACACACAGAACGATTTTAAAAGCAATGTATTGCTATTGGTTGTCCGGTCAGGTCTTGGAAGACCAGAAGCTGTGTGGTTCATAAAAACATTTTCTTACTCAATATCAAGCCACGATTATTGTTTTTATTTTAAATTGTATAACGTCTGACTTTTTTTGCCGTCCGTGAGGAAAATAAATGGGGCTCAGAATACTGAAATATGTATTTTTTTTTAATAATCTTCTAATTTGTTATTATTTGGTGCAGGCACTAAACATACAACCAATAGAAATATATTGCTTCTAAAATTGTTCTGTGTCAGAATACTGAAATCTGTATTTTTAAAATCTTTTTTAATTTGTTATTATTTACATTGCTTTTAAAATCGTTCTGTGTGACACGAAAACAAAGGGGAAGTCGTGTTGGTGAACACGAATCAATAGATTAATTTCGTGCCTATAATACGAAATGCCGTGAGGCTGGGTTGGATCACCATAAGTCAGTGCTTCTCAAATGCCCCTTTCACACCAGCGCTTTTTCAGCTCCGGCCGGTAAAATGTGCCTGTAGAAAACGGTTTATGCCACAATAGGATAGCAATAGCAAGTAGTCAGTTTAGCTTCGGTTGCTATGCTAACATCACCCATTTTATTCCAGAGAAACTTTCATAACAGCGTTGTGATACCAAACAGCGTCAATTCAGACTGACACACATTCACTTAGGCTAAGGGGAACTGGGGATATGTATCAGCTGCTTGTGTGAGTCGGACAGTGAATACTTTAGAGCGGCCGCAGCAGTGTGAGCTAACCGGGAGCTGACGGGAGAATAAACTCCCGTGGAAGAGCAGCCAACACTGCATCGGTCGGTAAATGCTGCAGAAACACATTAATAAACAATGAACCACGGCACTCTGTAGCAAAGTATAAGGTTGGAGAAGTCGTTATTCAATTTAATCTGGCTTCGTGTGATTAAAAGCAACACGATCATCGACCCGACGCAGTTCCCCGTTGTTGTTGTGAGCGCCGTAATGCCGTTGGGGAGCAAATCAGCGATGTAAACGATGACGTCATGACGCAGCAGCGGCAGCACCAGTCGGGTGCTGGGCGGTGTGAGCAGAAAAGGGAAACCGGAGCTGAACCAGAAAAGCTCCCGCTCGGAGCTAGAAAGGGAAAAGCGCTGGTGTGAAAGCCGCAAAAGTGTGGTCCACGGACCACTGGTGATCCTTGAGCGCCCACTAGTGGTCTGTGAGTATATTGGTAAAATTTCACATTTTAAATTAATTAATTAAATTTGAGTTTTCCGCACTGTCGCGGGAATATCTCTGCAATGGAGCGAGCTTAAGTTTCTTTCAATTGCATGATATAGCCCAGCGCAACACCTTCGTCACACATGTTGCCACTTGTTTGTACCATTTTCAGGCGATTTGTAATCTGTTCTAGAAAAACTATGTGATTTTGGATATTTGTGGAGTTAGGTGGTCCGCGAGTGTTTTTTTTATTGGTTAAGTGGTCCTTGGTATGGAAAAGTTTGAGAAACACTGCCAAGTTGATAAAACCACTCAAAATGCAATGAAAGTGGTGATCAGCAATTGTATATGTTCAAATCCCTACTGTGGAGGATATCATAAGGCTTTGAGGCAATCAGACGTAAAACACAATATTTCTGATTGATGAAAGTCGTGGTAGTGTTACCTTGTGTATGAGTCTGTAGGCCAGATGGAAGAGAGCCACCACTCGCCCCCAGTTGATGCCGTCAGCAAAGATGTTCCGGGCCACCTTCATGAAGATGTCCTGAGCACAGTTGGCCTGTACCTGGTTGATCAGTCTGACAGGAGGAAAAGGACACACTCAAACGTTTTCATTACTCTCAGTGACATTTCTCTGAAACAAGTCTAACGTTAAAACTACTGTAGCAAACAGTAATAATTGTCGTAATGGCGTTACATTTTTTCAATATTTGGCAATAAAATCCAATACAAACAAGGTGCATTTGAATATACGTTTGCAAAAATAGTAATGTTTCAGGAAAGCTCTAGCACAACATCACCAGTTATATTTCACAACAAATAACAAATTAAACTCAAGTGTAATCCAACAAAAGCATTAGATTTTATTTGTGTTATGTGTGTGTGTGGGAATGTAGGTCTGATTAATAAAGCAGCAAACAGACCGATCAGCATTTCAGTGTTAATGTGTCCATTCTTCAATCAAGGTATGCGTCTTATTTAAAACTCCTGCTTTACATAATGCAAAGTCCAACCAGTCACAAGAGATTGCCATCAGCTGTTTGTCTGCTATCAAAGAGTTATTCTAGAGCAGTGGTTCTCAACTGGTGGGTCGCGACCCAAAAGTGGGTCGCGGACCCGTTTGGAGTGGGTGTGTGAGTGAAGAAAAAAAAATTGGAAACATTTTTGGGGGAATTTTTTAACGCCGTGCATGCAGTCGTGCATTGGACTGGAAGTACCGGAGACCATAAACGGTTTTGAAAACTTCTGTCACATAGTGATCATCTTCTCAATAAAATATCTTTGCTGATGTTTTTTCGAGTCTTCTGGCCAATCAGAATCAAGATTGTTGCCGGAAGTCCCCACGGAGAATAACTTTGCGGTAGAACTCTTTTTTATACATCCATGGTTACAACTTCAGATAGAAATGAACACATAATGAAATATGACCCCCGGTTTGATGACTGACAGGTCACAGAACAATGGGAGCTATCTCCCCTTACCCACAATTTAAAGTCACGCAGACTATCTCCTCTGAACTCGCAGCAAGATGTCAGAACAAAGTGAAAAACAAACAATGGCATAAAATATTATTAATATGTCAGGGTAGTAATAGATTTATTTATTTTCTTCTCAGAGTGTACCAGAATGCATAGTTTATGTTAGTATTTCTAAAAATCTCCTGGGGGAGAATCCCCCCAGACCCCCCTGCTGGGGTTGGGTTTTCAGCATGCGTGCCTTTTTATATAGTTCAGCTTTGATTCCATCATCTCATTAAACCTTTTTTAAAAGCATACTTTAGTTCTGTGAAGGGATATAAGGGATATATGCACTGTACTTCACTTGTATTAATATTGTATGCTGAAAAGCGTATATATTACAGCAGGATTTTTTGTTGAATAGATTTGAGTGCTTCAAAATGTTGGGTCGCGATTTATTGACCAAGTAAAAGGTGGGTCCCGAGGCCTGACCAGTTGAGAACCACTGTTCTAGAGCATGGGTCGGCAATAGGCGGCCACTTGTTTGTCCGGCCATTGGTGGCCCGCCAGCAATAATATTTGGCCCGGAAAATTATTTTGAGAATAAAAATAAAAGATTATTTTGAGATTATTATTATTTTTATTTATTTTTTTATATCGGACCGACAGTCGCACATATAGGCTATAGGCTATAATGTCCGAATAGAGAATCTACCTACACCTAGAGAATGCTTATTGTACTTGTATCTATGTTGAGAGTGAATGACACACAGCACAGACACAATCTGGCAGTGGGGTGCACTGACGCTGATAGTGGATCAATAAGTAGATGGACAGTGCGTGGTGCTGAAATAGCCAACATGCGGTTTGAAAAAAATAACACCAGCTCACTAAATCATTCAAACGTAATGTTTACTTATATTTGAACAGTAACAAAGTTCAGTCAAAACACACAACAAAATCGGAGAAGCCGCTTGATCATGGAGGGCGAGGGGTGGTGGTGCATATGCTGCCACCCCAGTTGACAGATTTGTTTTGAAAGAAAAGTTTTGGCTCATCGGACATTTATGAGAGAAAATCCCTAATGTCCGAGTGCAAGTGAATGCAGCACAAGACGCGAGCCTTGTAACCCCTCCCCCGGTCCTGGCGCCAGCGAGGAAATATGATTGTCATTTGAACGGGACGGCGCAAAACGAGAAGCATTCGGTCTACAATGACAGAGAAGAGACTGTCAAGTTTGGCTGTACTCAGCATTGATTCAAAACTTTGGATCTTAATAAGGTTGTGAGCAGGGGCCATCTGTAGAATCTGGAGAATCACAGAACGGCACCGCAGCGAGGCCCCCCCCCAAAGCATTCGAACGCGTCACATGTTTTAACAATCAATTACTTAAAGGTGGGGTATGTAATTTATTTCAGAAACACTTTTTGTTATATTCCATGGAATGCTCTTAACATCCCGATAGCAATAATAATACATTTTATTTCTATAGCGCTTTTCTTGAACCCAAAGACGCTTTACATTTGGGAGGGAGGGTAGACAAACAAAACAAAAACAAAGCCAAAAAGAAACAAAGAAACAAAACAGAAAAGCAGTCAGGAGGAAGTTGGTTGAGAGGTGGGGGGGGGCTTATGACGGTATTGAGACATTTATTTACCGTGATATCGCGATATATCGTTACATCCCTAGTAATCACCGCTAAATGCACTTTTATACAGGGGTATCTCCTCTTGCACTTTATGTATCATAGCTGCTATATTGTACTGCCATGTGGTAAATGCGTGTATGCTGCTCATGCTCTTTCTGCATATCATGTATTTTTGCTATGTATATACATGTCATGTTCTTATATGTTGTATGCGACGGGACTACGGATGGAAATTAGCTCAAAGCTAAAATCAGGCTCATTTACATTTGTAAGCATTATTTTGTGTTCATCAATGTGCACTGTCCCAGTATGTGATCAGGACTTGGTATCAGCACTGTAGATACTCTTTAGAGTCAGTCCTCCCTACATTGAACCACTGAGAGCAGCCGGCACCAGGGCTCTATGGAGTGATGTGCTCCTTCAGTGGTGTGTTCCTGCTGCACAGCTTACCGTTGGAGCTCAGTGTTCCTGTTCATCTCATCTGCGATCTTCAGCAGCTGCTGCACCACCTCTTTGACATGAGGGTCCTGTTGTTCGTTGGGTCTTCCTCCGAGATGCTCCGAGGAGACGTGGCGACTTGGCTCCTCCGCGTTTATACGTTCAATCACATACCTAGGACAGAGAAAACGGCTTTACCAAGGAAACACCACACAAGACGCATGCTTGGACTTTGTGAGCTTGCTTTAGAAACAAGGCTATATACATATAGCGTATATATCGATATACATCGACAAGAAACGCATTTGTGTGAAAATGTGAACCTATCCTAAAAAACACTAGCATAGTGTTAGAGACTGGAGGCTTAGAGGACATCTAAGTAATAATAATAATAATAACAAATTATATTTATATAGCGCCTTTCAAGGGACCCAAGGTTGCCCATGACCCATGGTGGACAAACAAAACAAGCAGACAATCAAAGGGCAAACAAAAAATAAATAAAGGAAGCCGGGGACCAAGAAAGGGCTAGGGCCCGAAGGCCAGGGTGAACAGGTGTGTTTTTAATGATTTGAGTAAGTAAAGGTTCAAATTGAAAAAAGGTGGCAAAAATACATGTAACCAGTAACACAAACTTGGGGAACAGAGTAGTGATGTGTCGGTCGCAAACGAGCCGGCTCTTTTAAGTGAACAAAGGGAGCCGGCTCGCGCACGAGAACGAGCCGTTTTTTGTTGTGAAGTAATACAAGGCGGAATGATATGATGATCTCCGCGCTACGCTCCATGCATGCATGCAGTGACATGTAATATCCAAGGATTAGAGACTGTTGGATGCTGCTGTTTTGAGCATTGCAATACATTTATTTGTATTATGTTTTTTTATGATTAGAGACGGTTGGATGCTGCAGTTTTGAAAATTGCAATATATTTATTTTATAAGTTATTTATTTATGATTATCTTTAGGCTCAGCAAAGATTTGATGTCAGCTGTTGCTGTCTTTTTTTGTTGTTGTTAATACTGAAATAGAGCCCTGCTGTTTTGTTAGGGCTTTTTCTTTAAAGGGGACCTATCATGCAAAATGCACTTTTGTACGTCTTTTATACATGAATATGTGTCCCCGGTGTGTCAGGGAACTCACCAAGTGTCAGAAAACTCAACCCTCTCTCTTTTCCTCCATACCCAAATCTCTAAAAACGGGGCTGCAACGGATCTGATACAGACTGATACAGATTTGAAAGTTCTCTGACGTCAGGAACGAGGAGCTCCGCCTATATGGCCAACTCTCCACCTATCAGGGGAATGAGAGGTTGGGCCACGGCCGGCCATTGCCGCTCGAAAGCGCTGGAGACGCTGTAGTACATATGCCAGGCCTGTAAGTGGCGCTGTAGTCTGCCACAAAAGCAGCGAAGAAGACTTCCCGCGCATGGTTGCCATGGTTGCCCTTCTGTTTATTCTCCGCTGTGGCTCTTTTTCTCCCTCCCCGAGGCAAGCGTTTGCTCCCGCTGCTGTAATTCAATGCAATCCCTCCCTCGCTGTAATTCTCTCCGGTAGTCCACCAGCAGATGACAAACACCTCTCCGCCTCTTCCAAGGGACGAGGGGACCGTGCGGCAGAGTTTCAGTTAGATTTTCTTTCGCCGATCAACATGTCCGTTAAAGTTGAAATCTTCCGGACAAAATTTGAAAAGTGCCGGTCAAAGGTCTTCTTTGTTATTTATTGAGCTTTAAAACAAATGAATAATGACTCTATATAATCATAAAAGAATAAAACACGGAGGACGGAGATCTCTTTTTCTCCCCCTCTTCTGACAGCTCAGCAGCTGATCTCAAAGCACGCTCCCCTGTCCTGCAGGACAGGGGAGCGTGTCTATGCTAAAGTTGTTATAGGTGTTGCTATCTGCTTTGTGTAGCGTGGTTCTACAAGCAAGTCAGTGCATTCATGGGGTGGCATCAGAGAGTAACAAGGGTCTGTAAATGCAATGAAAACATTTGGCCCCAGCAAATCATTTATATTAAACATGTAATTTTTACTTTTGAATACTTCAGTACAAAAGATGTGTTGAATCATTTAAGTGATATATGTGTACACATATAAATCATTAGTCAAAACAGGGCTACATTTGATTGAGTTATAAAAGGTATAATATGTGGTAAACGGAAGAGCCGTTTGGGAGCTCTTCTTGGTGAGCCGAGCCAAATGATCCGGTTCACTAAAAAGAGCGGGAATTCCCATCACTAGAACAGAGGTGATTTCTGTAGGGTGAGCCTCTTATTGTGTTTTTTTTACAAAAAAAAAAAGCAAGAACTGGTAATGAGCAGCAGATCAGCCGGTCCCCATGACAATACACTGGGGGTCTGTTTATCCTGAAAAACCTTATCAGAATAAGTCGAAAGGCAATAATCAGTAGCATCTTAAGTTGTTACTTCAGCAATCGGAAAACTTTAGCCTTTACTCAGTAAGAAAAAACCCATTGTGTGCGTCTGTTCTTGCTTACGTGATGATTTCTGTATTTTCAAACCAGGTTGTATTTTTAACTGCTCTACTCAACAGAGGTTATTCACTTTTTATCAACTGACCAACATATCAACAATCTTTTTTCTTTTTTCACCGTATCATGAGAAGATCACACATGCTCTCATATCATCTCAGTTTAATAGTATTACAATAGTTAAACTGAGATGATAGTATTGTATTTAATGTGTATTCTTCCATTAACCATGTAAACACTTTGTATCTTTTGAAAAGTGCTGTGTAAATTCAGTTTGTGTATTATTATTATTCAGATTGAGACTTACGCTCTGAGTACCACTGCGCCTTGCTCCAGGATGGGATCATCAATGACATCTGTACAAAGGAGAAGATCATTATATAAAGCATTCACACACCGAGGCATTTTTATTTATAGAACATTTGAGGCGTTTCCTTTTCATAATCCAAATAAAGAAAGCTCTTGCCATAACAGCTTATTAACTATTTATGTTGAAAAGTGTCTTGTTTTGATAAAATATGTTGATTTATTTTGTATGTACATTTGGGGTCTTACTTTGTACCACCAAAATAGTTAAGACTTCTATAGTTTGACCACATTTCAAATCCGTTTCAGTTTCATTATGTATAAGTCATGCCTAAATATTAAGTTATCAAAGAACATTTAAAACAATTCAAGAGCAGAATATAGACAATTTAAGAGCATTAGGAAGAGGCATTCTACTGTAATATAGTTTATTTAATACTTATACACCTATATTAACATGTACATCTTTTTACAAAAGTATGGGAATTAAATTACAGAACAATATTATTATAAATAATCAACTGTTGTTAAATTGAACTTCCAGGCCTGTCACAGTCCCGTCTACCCTATATTTAAGTTTTCAATATTTACGTTGCGCCTTCATGTGTTTGCTCCAATTTTTTCGTGTAAGATAATATGTTTGAATTGTACATGAAATGAACTCTAAACTACACTTGGGGGGAGCTCACAGCAGACCTTCACCCTGACTCACAGTGTCCTGACTCAGGCCACAATCCTCCTGTTTTATTACCTTGTTTGTCACCAGCTGCACTGTAATGACCGGGTTAAGCAGACATATTGACTTTATGGTACTTTATGATGCATACAATGACTCTGCATATTTCACAAACTCCCATGGAAAGACTGGCCCCAGCTATATTTAATATCAGCATAATAAATACATAAACTAGCAGTATTTAATTAGCTCTGATCAGAATCGGAGAAGTACTCAGATCTCGTACTTTAGTAAAAGTAGAAATACCACAGTCTATGAATACTCTGATAGAAATAAAAGTCCTGCAATCAAAATGTTACTAACAGTACCATTTTGAGGTGGTTGTTCTTTACTTGAGTATTTCAAATTGTTGCTACTGTGTACTTCTACTCCTCTACAGTTCAGAGGTAAATGGTGTACTTCTACTCCACTACATGTATTTAATACCTTTAGTTACTTCACAGATCTGGATTAATGATGCGAAATCTAATCAAGTGTTAAATCTTTAGTTCCACCTGGAGTAAATCCACCAGCTACCCTGCAGTATACAAAGTCATTCAAACTAGCTGCTCCTTTACCAGCTTTGAGAACACTTTCATGATCAATCATTATAAAACATATCATATATATTATTCTGAAATGGACCAATCTGCACAGTGACTACTTTTACTGTCGCTACTTTCACTATATTTTGATGAGAATACTTTTGTATTTTTACTTAAGTAACATTTTGAATGCAGGACTTTTACTTGTAACAGAGTATTCCTACACTCTGGTAGTTACTTTAATACATGATCTGAGTATTTCTTCCACCTCTGTGAACCTATGGTATTCTTACACGACATTGCTAGCTTAAAATGAATGTCTGGAAAACAGACGACAGGTTGGAGGTTGGTTCGGATAAGGTAGGCTAACGCTAGGAGGAAACATGTCGACGGGGACACTTTTATCGACCCAATTGTGTTAAAACCGGTCTCTCAATTTAATAAAAAGCAAATGTCATAATGGTATATTGCCAGGAGTTGTCAGTTTAATACAACATTTCGTTAGCTTGTGTCCACCTGCCATGGCTTCACATACCTTCCCCACCCACGGCGCCCTGAGGCTCCTGGTCTTCTTTCCCCTCTTCCCGGCTGTCAGCCATAACTTCTTTCACTTTATCAGCCCGAAAGGAGCTGGGAGCGATGAATGAGCAGTTAGGTGTTTGGTTCCAACATGCAACGCTAAGCTTGGCCGAACAAAGTCACAAAAAGTCCGTCAAGTCCCTTCCGTGAAAACTTTTCTCCCTCCACAGAAGAACAAGGAAGTGAGACGGAAGCGCGCAGTGGCCGCCGGGTAGAGCGCCTCGTCTTTCCCATGGCATTTCCCATGGTGTTTCCCCGGGGAGCAACTGAACATCCAATATTATGAATGTGATAAAATGTGAAAATACTGAATTTCTGGGTATTATTGGATTTCTTGTAATAACCACAACCACAGCTGATAATTCCAAGGGTATTAAAAGTACTCAGGTCCTCTACTTGAGTAAACGTACTAATACCACAATGTAAACATACTCCATTAAAAGTCCTGAGTTCAGAGTTTTACTCAAGAACAAAAGTATTATCAGCTAAATGTACTCAAGTATCAAAAAGTACTCATTGTGCAGAAGGCCTCTTATAAAAGTGTATTATAATTATTATAGAATATGATATTATTTAGTTTTTGTCGTTAGAAAAGCCATATGTATAAGAGTTTTTTAAAGTTGTAATTTCTTCAGTATGCAGCACATTTTGGAAAGTATTGAGTAAATTAGAAGTAAATATATATCCTTTCAACAGATACAATTACATACAAGTGTCAAATAAAAGTTGTGGAGTAAAAGTACGCTATTTCCCCCTGAAATGTAGTGGAGCACAAGTACAAAGTAGCAGACAATCGAAATACCCCAAAATTATACTTAAAGGTCCCATGTCATGGCCATTTCTACTGATCATAATTCCATTGTTGAGGTCTGCTAGAATAGATTTACATTGTTCAATGTTCCAAACTCACATTGGTTTCTCATACATCTCTGTATAGTTTGTGTATTCACTCTCTGTCCTAAACGGCTTGTTGGAGCTCCTTTGGGAAGCTTTGTTTCTTGAAAGGCTGGCAGAGGGTGTGACCTCTGGGCAGGGCCACCCCTGGCCAACTTGGGGCCCCAAGCGACATTGTGAGATGAGGCCCCCCCAACCGACAGGAGTGAAAAAAAATGTTTTTGGAAACAAAGTAGGCTACTTTGCAAATATAATTCCTGTTTATTATTATTATCAACACTTTTTTATGCAGTGAGGTAAATGGTAAATGTGCATGTATGTCGTTCAGTATGCGTTTACAGGTGAATACGTCTGCATTTCCTGCCAAATACTAGCCTCAAAAAGATTAAAATATAATTAATGCAAATAAACAACTTCTACTAATAATAATAATCATAATCAATTCAATAATATAAATACTATATTGTTTTATTATAATATAGTTGTAATATAGTCAAGACAAAACATGCTTATGACATGCTCAAAAACTGATATTTCTTAAATCTGTATTCAAATGTAGTTCCCTCTGTCAGCAATGTATCAACAACTACACACACATTTCAGTATTTCTCTGTGTTGTGGTTGACATGATGATGACTGTTAGGAGTTAAGGGGAGAGGCTGAGCGTCACCATGAAATGTGCAAATTGACATAAAAATGAATAAAAGGGGGAAAAATGCTCCATATTCTTTAGGCTGTAAACTTGAACTGTTATGTAAGCCAACTAGACAGACAGTTTATCACTCTTCCTCCTGTACATTAGCAGATAAAAGGCATCACATACTTGAATGAATGGTAAATAAAGAATGCTGGAAATAACTGCATCTCCATTAGCCTATATGCTCTGCAGAGACTGCCTTCTTCATGTCGTGAATTGCAGCTGATGTTTTAATATGGCAATTTGACTTATACAACATTCGCAAGTTGTACATTTGACTCATACAATAACCCACCTTCGAGTGATGCTCTAGTTTCTTCATGTTTTGTTTTTTGCGCCGGACTGAAACTGTCTTTTCACCGACATCTCTTCACCTGCACTAGTGGCCGTATCAGAGCTGTGATTGGTCAGATGTCGATTCATTGCAACGGTGTCGGGTTACAGACATGCTCCCATTGTCACCTCTCACTCTCGCGTGTCAGCCGGGGGTGCGCGGAAAACTGAGCGGAGAACTGCATGCGCACAGCAGCTGAGGCCCTCTGGGCGGGGCCCCCTGCGCAAGGAGGGGCCCCATGCAGCCTGCGTGATTGGCCTGTAGGGAGGGGCGGCCCTGCCTCTGGGTATCCCCACGTCTCAGCCAGGAAGAAAACATTGGAAAATGAGAAATCTCCAACGAGGCGTTTTGGGGAGGTATTTTCTGTGTTAGAGTTTTACTCGCTACAGGGTGTACTTTGAGGGTTTTTGACTCTGCAGACCGTTTACATGCATAAAAACCTTCGTAACACACAAGGGGACGGGTAATAACCAGAAAAGCATGACATGAGCCCTTTAAGTACAATACTTGAGTAAATGTACACATTCCACCACTGGATCATTCTAAATATATTATTGTATTTATGCTTTCTGGCATGTCTTATCTGTATCTGTTCATCGATGTATGGATGACATGTGTCACCTGGAAAGATGCCATTTGGATGTTTTTTGCTATGATGCAAAGTGTTGGACTTATTTCATACGGTAGGTGGGCAGGATCAATGCTTTACTACTAATAGATTTATGAAGCCTATATTCTGAGCCAAGAAAAACCCAGCCTGAGTTTGTACCATTATCCTCCCTTTAACCTGTGGAGGCACGTCCTCACAGAGCCATTTTCTCCGCTTTGAGTGTTTGTTTCACTTTCTATATACATTCTTAAAAACCCAGTTAGCACATTCTAAACTCACATGAATACAGTTGTATTGTGAACATGGTTAAAAAGGTTAACATCTCAATCCTTCCTGAATTGATCCTCCTCAGAAAGGTGAGTTAACTTCCATTATAGTCAGCTCAAACCATAAAGTGTGCCCCCTCTGCTGTGAGTCATTGGACTGACTCACATTGTGATTACGTGGTACAGATCACGTTGATACAATCACATTAATGTCTGGTCTTAAAACTGTACACAAACTATGGTGTAACTGGAAATTTGATCATGATCATAATTATAATTATCAGTTTGTTCACCTTGAACACAATAGTGTAATTTTCCTAGTTCTTCTTCTTATTATTATTTCACCAAATAGTTTGGCTCTCAATAACTTCAGCATACTTTCAGCTACAGAAACCATTAAAATATCAAACTATTCAGCACATGATGGGAAACTTTCAACTTTTTCAAAATTATTTATACTTTTTGAAATATTCAGCTTTTTAGCAAAAACTTGTCAAAAGGTCCACCTAGCTCCCATTAGACTCCCATGTAAAAGAAATCCGGATCTTTCTTCAGACTAGAGAGAAGTACACTTTAGACAAACTGCTCCCATCTCCACATTTTACACACAAAACCTAAAAAACAAACATATTTCAGTTCATTGGGGTTCCCTGATGCTCACGGTCTGGTCATTTTTTTATAGGAGCCATAGTTTTTGAACAGACTGTGGCAAAATTGTCAGCTATAATCCTCAATGCATTCTTAATGGGACATGGTGCTGCAGTTGGTAACCATGGTGTTGCTGGGCAGATCGGGGCCACACACCTGAGTGACATCATCTAATCAGAGCAGACACGCCCACAGACAGACTGGAGGTTTGTATTATTATTTTTTCAACAAAAGTTAGAAATGCAAGAGGTTTATCTCTCATTCAGAACAATGGAAAGGCTCTCCTTTCACAGCACATCTCCATGGAAACCTTTGATCTCTGGGCTTACACACACAGGTGTTTGTAAACATTCATTCACTACTACTTACATCTGATATCTAACTCCTTCAGCCTACTTTCAGCTGCAGAAACCATTCAACTATTAACTTATTCAGCTATTTCAGGACATTGAGGCTATACATTTAGTTGTTTATACCTTTTTTAAACCTTTTCTTTTAAATATTAAGCTTCTTCACTATTTTTCCTCCTCTTCCAGTTTAACATTTCACTTTCAAGTTTTCAACAAAGTCATTGCAATGCATTTGAGCTGTAACAATTTGATTCAAATCATTTCACTTTTCTGCATTTCTCCGCTAAGTTCAGCAACACACTGACTTGGTTTCTGTAGCTAAAAGCAGCTACCATTCAGCTAGTAACATATTCAGCTTTTTCTGCAAAATTCAGCCACAAATGTTCACAGTTTACAAACTTTACAGCATGCGCACGCATTTTCTGCAGGAAATGCATTTTCTAGTTCACTCTCCTATTCGCTCTGTTGTGCCTTCCGCCAATTCCCGAGGGAAATCATATGGAGGAAATCAATCTTTTTTTCACACCAGTTTTCTAGTTTAGTCTGTTGTTTGTGTTGCATGTGGTGTACAGCGAAGAGAACACAGCTGCTGCTGGACACACCTCTGATGAGGAACCAAAACAGGGAATTTGTGGGCTGGAAAACATGCTCTGTAGAGCTGAGGGGAAATCAGTTTTTGCTCCATCATGGCGTCATCACTGAAGCCACAGCTTTCCCATTACACATTGATCCATTATTAATACCTACATATTGATTATTGCAGCTGTTAATATATTCACATCTTAAAAAGCCCCCTGGTGACTTTCTGTGACTCTTTTCTGATACTCTTGCTGTTCACTTAGCTAAACTCCCTGAAGATCCACAGAGAGGAGGGGTGGTGTGACCCTTAACAGTGTGCACAAATTGCTCAAATATGTCAATAAAAAGCTAAAATAAAGGGGTTTTGTAAAGAGTAACAGTATCATCTATGATTTGTGAGTACAGTGGATGTTCAGTGTTACAGGGTTATTGACTCTGTATGATGCTTTAACTCTTCCTCAGAGTCATTTTAGCGTTAAGACAATTATCACATTTGTCCGATCTAGATTTCATGTTTCATGTGTTCACATTAAATTTAGCAGACAATATGTTATTTTGCCATTACAGTTCTATCCATTAAAACATAATAAAAGATGGAGATTGGTGGTGTTTATATCATGTTAGCTTCTACCGGTTGGGATTACTTATTTGTTCATCATTAAGCAGATTTGCATGACTCATTATCCATGAGCTCTGCTCCCAGAAAACAAAGAAACACTGTGATTAAAACTGGTAAAACACAGAATAAAGCAGTTTCATGTTACAAATCAGTGTTTCTCCCAAGCAGTTCAGCTGTTGTAA